GCCATGATTGAAGTTAAGGAAACTCAGCAACCGAAAACAATATATGTCTTAGATGTAGGGTTGGGTACCGAAACCCGGTACCAATATGGTACCGGTACCTATGTAACCGGTATGTACTAGAACCGAATCAGAACGCAGATTTCAGTTCCTCATTTCGGTGCCATGCCTGAGCGATCGATTAAAATATTTGTCCTCTGGTTCTCCGAAACGGACGTAAGAAGCATCATCGTAAAATAATCATCGCGAGCGGCTTCGGTTTCTCCCACCCGTGACTAATCAGCTCTCAGACTGAGATTTATGCAAATGAGGGATGATGTCATCGCACAGGCCACCCCGCATCCTTTCTTTACGCGCCGTCGCTCTTCTTTTCTATCGCCTCGGACCCCATCCCCTGCCCCCATGTGCCCACCCCCCAAATTTCATTGTGAAAAATAATTTCCCGACTGAGAAAATGCACGTGAACTCAAGTCAGAAAACTGTAATAATACAAATATCATTACATGCAAATCAACATAAATAATGATTAAATAAATATAAAGTAATTATTTATGTCATAATTATTCATAATTCACGTTTACAGAATAACATTAAAGTGAAAAAATACTGGTAATTCTCACCTCATGGTCAAAGGCCGCTTTAGAATTAAAAAGAATAATCAAACTTTATAGTTGTAGTTATCGTTATCATTCTTGGTGTGAACAGGCATTCACAGTCATTGATTGATTTGAAGTAATACATTTGCTGTGAATTTGATGAGGATTCGGCTATTAAACAACTGACTGTGACTTCAGAAGGAAATACACGTTTATTTGTTATCACACTATTTATATGTCAAAGTCAGTTCATCTGTGTAGAAAACAAATAGGATTTTACTGCTTTACTTCTTAGCTTCTGCTCTGAAGTTTCTGAATCTGGGCTGTTTTTGTTTTAGGGAGTGTTTGTTCCTGTCATGTTTCTAGCTCAGGCTTGTGTTTTGTGCGAGTGCCAGTGTTGTTGAGCCGTTTTGCCCAGCTACAGGGCTGATTGCTGGCATTGGGGAAAAACAATCAGATAAATAGCATAGGAAGTGAGTGACGGCTCAAATGCCCTGCCCCTTCCTGCCGGTTCGGCACCGTCCCCTACTGCAAGGGTCAGGATATTTCCTCCCTTTGTGTGCACTCCTGAAGGGGGCCAAAACGTCTGTAAGCCAACACACTCGCGTTTGAGTGCTCGGAGGTCTGGACTCTCTAAAATGTCACCCTTTATTTTGCCTGGACACTCTGCTGTTGCTAGGCATGAGGTCATCGCGCCACTCCAAAAGCTCTATGATATCATAGTTGAGTCGAAGCGAAGGTTCTATCAATCTGCAATAAATCCAGCCTGGGTCTTGGCACCTGTTTGCGCAATAAATATTCTGTAATATTTCTATGTGGGTGTGTACAGGAGTCTGTTGAGATTGACATGTGACTGTATTCAAATCAGGAGGCTGGAAATTAAACAGAAGTAAGAAAACATGAGCTAATACAGTACCAGGGGTGGGAATTGCCATAGACCTCTCTATTCAGTATTGCAATGATATTGTTGCCGATGCAACTGAGGTAAAAAAAAAAAAATGAGTGAGAGAGAACAGGTTTATACTGACAGGTCTGTGCGACCGTGATCTATTAGAGAGACTCATGGTAGAAACCGCAGAGGATAAATACAACAGGTTTTCTGTATGCTTTGCTGCTCAGAGATGCTAGAGGAACATTTACATGCAGCTTTGTTTGTCAGAAAAGGAGAGCGCTCGCGAGACAGAGAGGCAGACAGACATGTCGAAAGCCCACCCTGTGTCCCACCGTCTCCACAGCGCTGGAGAGAAAGGAAGACAAAGACTTGTATGAGAGCAGCAGCAGTCTAGAGGCTTCTCCAGCGTGTCTGGGAGAACAGGCTTACAAGCAAACGCTACCAAACCACATGCAGATAGGACAAATATGTATCTTGCATGCTTATGAACATGCATGCAAACCGTCCACTATATGGAGCAATTTAATGTGCTCACAGGTGTCTTTAAGCTGTAAGCCAAATAAATCTGTCTAAAATCTGATCCAAAATGTCCTTCGTGTTTAAATACACCCCTGAATGCAAAAAAATGTTGATTTACTATTTTACCCCCAATTCTATTGAGGTTTAAAATATTATCTGTATTGGCATGTGGTGTGGTGGGTTGCAAATCGAAAATATTGTTTAAAGAGAGCAGACATTTTTTTTTCCAAGTGTTAATAATAAAATGTGGTTAACAATATTATCATACATAGTCATGAAAGCAAAGTAAACAGGTGTCAGCTTTTAAAGAGGAGGCGAAAATGCTGCCAAAATAGATTAGTTGTCAGTTTTCTATTTAGCTATGTCTTTTAAATAATTCTGAATATAGCTGGGCCAAATTTTGCACTGGTCACCATATTATATACAAGGTGTAATCCGTGTCCTGCAGTAAAACCAGTTGTGCACCAGTTGTGCTATTTTAGTGTTATTCACATACTATTATAGTTTTCATAATTTTATAATATAGTTTCATATTTTTTGTAATATTTTACATTATTTAATGTGTATTTGTTTTCAATTTAATTTTTTAAAGTTTTAAAGGGGTCATATGATGCTGCTAAAAAGAACATTATTTTGTGTATTTGGTGTAATGAAATGTGTTTATGTGGTTTAAGGTTCAAAAAACACATTATTTTCCACCGGAGTGACGAGACATAAACATTAAAACCCATTACAAACGAGGCATTTGTTGCATCCAGTGGGGACATAATTACTGATTATAATGACTTATACTGTGTTTTTACGCTTTGCATTGCGTATTGCGCCTCGTAAACATAAAACCATGTCTGCATTTGTGATCGGAGAAACGACAAACAACAAGCCTACTCTACTCTGCTCAAAACTCGCGTTGTGTCCTCTTTTGGAAGGCCAAACAAAGTAGTTTCGCTTTCACAACGAAACACAGCGTCACACACGGTGGCGAGTGAGCAGAGGCCGGGGGCTAGAGTGACGAGAGTGTAGCAACAACAATACTACAGCGAGGATAAAAGTTACGCCTTCTTTCTTTGGGTGGACATTTGGGCGGCTTTATGCAAATCTTCCCACATCGTGATGTAGATATGTGGGGGCGTGTTAGAATGAGTTGTTTTAGGTAGGCGTGGCTGACTCTGAACTTTTATAAAGAATATCTCTTTGGATTTGAGACTTTAGTCTTTGCAACTTTACAGATCTTCTTTATGCACCAAGAGCTTGTAACACTCCAAAGAGAAAGGAAAAATTTAAATCGCATCATATGACCCCTTTAATATATTTGTTATGTTTTTGTCATTTTTATTGTTTTAATATGTCATGATACGTTTTATTAATTTTTATTTTAGTTTTAATTGTAATAATTTTAATACTTCAACTTAAACTAAACGAAAATTAGAAATGTTGCCTGTCAACCAAGTGAAATACGTTTGCTTTTTGTAATATTTTCATTATTTCAGTGAAAGTTTATTTCAAGAAACAAAAATGTTGAGTGTTTAAGTTTTAGTTAGCCCTGCCTGTGTCTTTTGCTCTCTTGTGTGCACAAGTGAAAGTGAAAAGAAACGGCGGGAACGCGGGCGTTGGGGGTGGGCACATGGGGGCAGGGAATGGGGTCCGAGGCGACAGAAAAGAAGAGCGACGGCGCGTAAAGAAAGGACGCGGGGTGGCCTGTGCGATGACATCATCCCTCATTTGCATAAATCTCAGTCTGAATGCTGATTGGTCACGGGCGGGAGAAACCGAAGCCGCTCGCGCTTTTATTCTTTTTCAACGCTCCCTCTCGCTCGTGTGTGTGCGCGGATCGCCGAGCGTCGTTTCATTCTCTGCTACCAGGAGACACGCATCTCTTTTATCGCCGGTAGACAGTCAGTCTGCTCCAAACAGCCTCCGTCAGAGCTCCAGTCTACCTGTTTTTATCTCAACATTTGTTGCCGGTTTTTCTCGATTCACAGTGCTGCCAGCCGGGTTCCGCCTGGGGAAAAAACGGGAGGAGACGCGAGTACCGACTGGGCGTTGCTGGAGGAAAAGCGCTATAGAATTGGTAAGATTATCTGTGTGCCGATCCTAAAAAGAACCAGCGATTCATTAAAAGCGTTTTTCACTGTGTCACAACTAATTAAACTAAAGCATTAATGTCAGTTTAAGAAATGGTTTTCATTCAACAGCATGATTTACGACTGCATGCATTGATATGTAAATGATTATTTATGAGTTCACACCGGTCATTATAATAGAAGTACCGGCGGAATAAATGAGATCATCAGATGAAAATGCCACTGAAGCGATCAGGTTTCACACCGGTTTGATTTAGCCTATAGCCTTAAATCTACCGCACGCAACCGGTTTAGTTAGTTTAGCGTTTTTACTGCTTGTTAACCGGTTTAGATTGTCTCTTTTTATTCCGTGTTGCCTTGTTCATCCTTTGTGTCCTTTTCAATGGTGGATGTCTGGGCGGTGACGGCAAACCCACTCGTAACTGTGACCGAATTTAATCTCGGACAGTCGTTCAGAAAACATATATTGCACTGACAGATGAAAGAGAATAAATTATAATACCGTTTTTCTACATGTTGTGTGTTTTGTGTGTTTCGCAGCAGTGCAACTTTCCACTAGTCCGTTCGCTCGAGTCTTTTGTTCTGCGCCTCCTCCACCCGCCCGGCCGCCCCACATTCAATATATTCACCCGCCCGGTTCCTATAATATATTAACCCTTTCGGTCCATTCAGTATCGACCCGGTCTATAGGCGTATAATATAAAACCCTCCGCGGTCCAAATACAATGTATTACAGTGACTGAATTTGCCGGCAGGCTATGTGTAGTCTGCATTGTACTGGATCGTATTGGCCAAATATCAGAATGTAGCCTAAATATATCAAATACAGTCCCCTACTCATTCCATATATTTAAAAACTAATATATATATGAGTATCTGTAGTGTTTTTTTTTTTTTTTTACCGAATTAGAAGCGTTATTAAGGCTGATGTCGACGTGCCGGTATATGTGTATCAGACCTCATAATGATAGGCTACTGCAGGAATTAATTAAACGACCCGACCCAACCTGCCAAAACACACGCCCGCTGGTGCAGTTTATCTGTCCAAACCCTGTCCATTTCTGAGAGATACAGACCAGTTAACAACCAGCAGCTCGATATCATTCAATGGTCTACTGTGAAGTATTGATGTTTCTCCTCATAAAAAAAGTCGTGGTTTAGGAACAATGCAAATCAACAGGGTGGTTTCTTGGCTTTGCTCCCTGCATGCGCAACTCGAGTCAAAATGATGCGTTTCCAAGCAGGTGCGGCTTGGTTTGGCTTTTCCTGCTGCTAAATCTTGGCTCTGTAAGTCAGTTCATGCTTGCAGTCTTGCTTAATAGTTCCCTTCTCTCTTCTCGGCAAACAAAAGGTTTAAGACGGATGCCTCAACCACCTGCGGCCACCATCTCACCGCTCCAGTGAGGGTTCTTCAGGTCTATCTCTTCTGCTTTTGTTTGGTATTTTGTGTATTATTATGGGACGAATTAAATATTAGTTATATATACTGTATATATATATATGTCTAAATGAGAGATCATTTTAGTAATACAGACTATTTTAAGCTGTCGGTGTATATAAGTTCAGAATATGCGAGTCACTGCTAAAATTTATAGCAAACAAATCTCTCTAATTATTTCAGATCCATTTTTGTTTGACTTTCATTGTTCTGTCATGTTATGATCCTGATACAATGCTGTGGCTGTCTAACTCCAGCCTACAGGGATTAGGCTCTTGGAGGGAGGCATTGCCAGCAATTACAAATGTGTCATGGCATGATGGGTAGTGACTGTATGAGGAATGGGGGTGGGACTCGCTAGAGAAGAAATTACAGCAAATGACATCAGAAAGGTCAGATTCTTGTTTATGATTATCTGAAGTGACATAAGTGAATGTGACTTTGCATTATTTGGCCCACTAACATTTGCTTGCTCGCTGTACTCTCTTAAAAATAAAGGTTCTTTATTGGCATCAATGGTTCCATGACGAACCTTTATCATCCATGGATCCTTTTCATTGGACAAAAAATTATTTATAGTGAAAAAAGGTTCTTTAGATTTTTTAAATGTTCTTGACACTTCTTCTGTTGCATCGCTACCAAACCCCCCATTTTGAACCTTAATTTTTAAAAAGTGCAGTGAACACTCGTTGTTGTCCCAAGATGCAGTTACAGTGGTTTCCCTGTGTCATCTGTCATTGCATTGCCAGCAATTACAAATGTGTCATGGCATGATGGGTAGTGACTGTATGAGGAATGGGGGTGGGACTCGCTAGAGAAGAAATTACAGCAAATGACATCAGAAAGGTCAGATTCTTGTTTATGATTATCTGAAGTGACATAAGTGAATGTGACTTTGCATTATTTGGCCCACTAACATTTGCTTGCTCGCTGTACTCTCTTAAAAATAAAGGTTCTTTATTGGCATCAATGGTTCCATGACGAACCTTTATCATCCATGGATCCTTTTCATTGGACAAAAAATTATTTATAGTGAAAAAAGGTTCTTTAGATTTTTTAAATGTTCTTGACACTTCTTCTGTTGCATCGCTACCAAACCCCCCATTTTGAACCTTAATTTTTAGGTTTAACTCGTTGTTGTCCCAAGATGCAGTTACAGTGGTTTCCCTGTGTCATCTGTCTTTTTCTGATAATTCTCTCATATTGAAGCACTCCCTCCTCCAGTAAAGATAGCACCCTAGGGGCTGAGCAGTTGTCGTAGTGGACAGTTGGCTCTGTTAGAATGGGATATTGTGTTGCAGTTGTGGTCATTTGAAGGGTTTGTTGCGTTCTGAGTTCTTTTTTTGGAGAGTGTTTTGTGGTTACGCTTCTGCTTTCTGTAAACATGTCTGCTGTGCAGTTGTAGCACTATTGCTGTGTTAATCTCCGTCTGGAGCAACATTTTATCAGAGCAGGCATGCAGTCCTTTCTTGGTGCATTTTGGTTGAGTATCCTTTGTTCCAGTCTTGGCAGATGTCACTCAGTGAATGGTGTCTGTGAGGGTATCACAGATTGCATTTGGGTGCTGCGGTTTACTGATGGATATATTGACCTGATGTTTTTATAAAGGTTAAAGTTCACATGCTGTAAGAATAGGGTTGCAAAGGGGTGGAACATTTCCGGAAACTTTCCAAAAATCCCTGAAATATTCCAAAAAAAAATCCTGGAAAGTTTCCAAAATTTCTGGAATATTTCCGAAATTTACTGGAAATTTTCCACCTTTTTGCAACCCTATGTAAGAATCCCTGCAGTGTCTGAATTCCATATTAAAATAATCTGTCCTGAAAACTAGGTGTCTTGATGCCGCAGGCCTCCATGCAGTGAACAATGCCAACTTACAAATTTTCTCTCCGCATCAACCTCAAGGTGTTCATAAAATCTGCAGTTTGTCATCAGTTTATGATGCATCCAAACTCCCAATGGAAGTAAAAATAAACTAGATTTTTACATTTCCTAAAGAAAAAAACTTGTGTTGCTATGCAGTTGCTGAGTGGTTTTGAATGTGTTGCTATATGGTTGCTAGAATGTTTTGATGGTTGCTTACTGGCCAACCAAAGTCTCTGTATCATTTTGGTCATTTTGGACCTGGCCCAGATCCTTTCCTTCAAAGTAAGTCAATGGGTCTTTAAAATAAATAAATAAATCATAGATTTTAGAGAAAAATAGCAAAGTAATCGCACTTGTTTCACATTTCAGAAGGGATCTTAATGTCTCAAACTCAGATTTGCTCACTCATTCATTCATTTGCCAGGAACTCAAATATTTCAAGATCAAATTTTCTGAACTGCTGTCCATGTTTTTGCCTCTATAATTCTTACAGTATTCCAGAAATAACTAATTTCTCTTGAAAATTTGTTGGAGAGAAATTTAAGACATGAAATACTCTGAAAGACCAACCTCTGAGCAATATAAATCCACTGTAGGTCATTATTATTTAGTAGATTCATAATTTAAAGCAGCTTAGAGTATTTCAGCACAGTGACAGTCTGTTTTGAGCAACTGGGGTTGAATACTTTCGCTCAGAGCCACAGCAGTGGAAGGAAAATCACTTCTGCAGGAGTGCGAACCTACAACCTTTGGATTACTAGTCTAGATCCTCAACCATAACCATCTAATACCAATATCTGGTTGTATATAAGTTAAACAGCTTCATGTAGATTCGCGCTTCGTCAGCAGGCACGTTATGAAATTTTCTGTTGAGTCAGAACAGAGGCTCAGAGTCCATTTGGAAGGTGCTGGTTAGCTGTGAGCAGAAGGATAATCCTCTTATAGGTACAGTCAATTCCTGTGGAGTGTGTGTGTGTCACTTCCTCCTGTTCGCTGAAGGGCATGTTTATTGTCTGCTGCAGATGACATTTGTGGCCATGCTGTCACAAACAAACACACACTATCAGATGTCATTGATCGAACCCCACCAGCTGGTTTTTATCAGCTCCTATGTAATTTGGCTTTTTAGCTTTTTTGTGCTCCCAGTAGATAAAAGATAATAGTAATTCAAGCAGCTCCTTGAATTACAAATTCGTTAAAAGGCCCCTTTACACCCAAAACCTACCAATTTCAGTGGGCCCACATGCTCTGCTAATGCACTGTTCAACTCTCCCATCTGTGCTGCGACCCCTGCACTTTCTCTCAATGATCAATATCCATCTTATCTCATCTCGTCTCACCATTTCTCCTCTTACTCTCTTGGCCAGGTGGCATGGCATGCTGGCTGGTGCCCATATCTGGCCCGTGTCCTGTGTGCATCCCATTCTGTGGGTGTCCGTCGGAGGATCGCAAAGGATTAGCATCATACTTTGTCCCGAGTTAACAAGCTCTGTCATGTGTTAATCTCCCTGTCCCCAGGGGACCGTGTTGGTCTGCCGATGGTTTGATGTTTCCTGCTGCTGTTCAATGAGTGAACAGAGGTGCTGGTACCAGCTCTTTCAGTCATGCAACCCTACTCTGACACTGCTTTATTGCATTTAAGCAAATTATGGTGCTGTTTTAGGGGCCGTTTACACCGGATGTGCTCTTGTGTTCACAAACCACTAGACCAGGGATGCCCAATTCTGCTCTTGGAGATCTATCTTCCTGCAAAGTTCAGATCAAGCTCTGATCAAACACACCTGAACCAGCTTATAAAGGTCTTCAGAAGAACTTAATAATTACAGACAGAAGTGCTGGAGCAGACCTAGTCATACATTAGTACAGACAAAAAAACTGCAGAAAGATTGTTTATGTTTGTTTATTTCCAAATTTATTGGCTTTTTGTGCTTAAACTTTATTTGGTCATTTGTGCTTGTTTCTTTATTACACTAACATGTCAATGACTTTCAGTACTGCGCTATATATTTTGTGGTTAGATGGCAAAAAAGGGAGTTCCCTTGGGAGAAGGCAAACATTTTGCAAGATAGTGCAAAGTTTCTTGGGGCAAAGCAAAATTTTTGTGAGTGAACAAAGTTTCTTGGGGGAAGGCGAAAGTTTTGAAAGACAATGCAAAAAGTTTTGTGAGGGAGGGCAAAGTTTCTTGGGGGAAGTCAAAAGATTTGCAAGTGGATGTAACATTTTATTGGGGTGGGCAAATGTTTTGCAAAAGAGCGCAAAGTTTCTTAGGGGAAAGCAAAAGCATTGCAAGAGAGCTCAATGTTTTTTGGGGGGAAGGCAACATTTTTGTGAATGAACACAAATTTTCTTGGGGGAAGGCAAACTTTTTGCATGAAAGCGCAGTAGCTTTTCCTGTCACCATAAGTCAGAACACAAGTATGTATCCGGTGAAAATGGTCTCTAAGCGTTCTTGTGTAGGTCACTTATCTTTTTTATCCCAGAGAGTTGTCGAGTGTCTCACGCCCTGAAGTAGCACATGTTCCAGAAAACTTATGTAAATCTTCCTTACAGTACAAGGATTACCTCCTTTTCACCTCTGGATGTTGTCCAGGCATCTGCCACATAAGCTGTTGGTGTCTCGGGCAGAAAAAAAAAATCTTCAATCACAACTAGTTTAGTCTCAGTTTACCACTGGTTTTGTTTCCATTCTGAAGTCTCAAAGTGGTTTCTTACAGCCTGACGTCACTACCTTCCCTTTTTCGTTCCGATTGTTCTGTAGAATAGGCCGACCTGTTTGTTTTTGTGAGTTGGACAGAGCGGCTTCCCGACCTTTTGGCCAAGGGTGTTTTGGAAATGCGCTGGCCATGATCGCAATCTCGACAGCGGGGGCACTAAAGTGGCTTTTGTCAGCTTGGACAGCAGCGGTCCTGTCATGTGCCTCCATGTGTGTCTATCCTCTTTTCACTCCTCCGCGAGGGCCGCCACCCCAACAATCCCTTCTTTGGTGACTTGTTTCATTGCAATGCGCCTCAGGCCATTCGACTTCATCTCGGCGTGTGTGTTCTGTATAATGGGCCGTTCAGAGAGTCATGTGATCAGTAGATAGAGAGGGGACCAGTATCTCCACACAGATGCGTCTAAGACGCTGTCCACTGTTGAGTGCTATTATGTAATTTTGTTTGTGTTATTGACACCAACAGCCAATGGGCTATTCATGGACTCATGAAAGCGGTTCTGTGACGCAGACCCCAGTCACACCTTCAGTCAGTCTTTTGCGTGCACTGCTGTAGAGAAGGCATTATATGATGAATAGAGAGTTTGAAGTACATTTTTGTGATTAATTTTGTACTGTAGACTGCATTGTTACTGATACTGATATTGCAACAAACACAACTTTTACCGTTTTTAAGGCAAGACACAACAGGCAAAAGCATTTAATTCTTAAATTTAGCCTGGGCTACGTAAGACAATGAAATAAAAAAATGGAGAAAGAATGTTAGTAAAGATTCAAATGAGCCTTTTTATAAAAAAGACTTGCTCGCATTCTTCGGAGGAAACAAAAGACCCTTAAATAACTGACAGTGAGCAAAGCTATCAATTTAAATAGAATTTATCATCAAAATACATTTGACATTCACCACTAATGTGCCCTGCAAATCAATTTATAGTTGTATTCAGTTCCTCACTGCTGTGGTTTTTAATGGATTTTATTAGCTTATGGACCTGAGGTGAGGTTTATTCTTGCTTTATTCTTAGGGTTCAGAATCAGGTACCTGATGAATTTGATTGCCATTTCTCTCTCAAACTCGTTGACCTTTTACACTTCAAAGCAGCACAGTAGTGTGTTTCTTCCTCAACCAGCAAACTGTGAGTCCCGGTGGCCCTTTGTGGTGGTGGTCGCCTCTGAATAGATCCAGTGTTCCCTTGTTTTAGAGTGAGGGACGGGGGTGGAGGGAAACTTCTGCAACATCCGGAGGGTACAAGCAAAAGGGGGGTTTGGAAGGGTGTATAAAGATGCTGCACTCTATATATTTAGGTCAGAATTTTAAGATTTATGTATTTGAATTGCATTTAAAATTTCATTTTGATTACAGAATAAAAAATTAAAAAACGAGTAAACTTAATATGATGCATATGTCAGACACACATTAAAAAAATATATTTAATAAATATTTTTTGAGTGTGCATTATCTCTGTGGAGGCACAATGGGGTATTGGCAAGACAGACTTAATATGTGAAAGCCTAAACTGTGACAAATTACTGCTGATTAGTCAGTACTCTGACCAAACGCCAAATAAGAGGCCAACAACGGCGTCCCTAGTGTATGCAAACATGTCGGTTTGGCCCCAACTGGCTAAAGCTAAGATGGCATTAGCCTGTTAGCACCTGCTGTGCCACAGTGGTTAGCTGATTGTGAGAAGCAAGCTTTGCACACGGGGGACTTTTTAAGGCACAATGCAGCACTTAGATATGCATTTATGCATGCACAAGGCCGTGTTGTGCTTGCACTTCGGATAAAGAGGCCAAAGTGCATTTTGCTGTTACAATGACCCCATTAGCATGGGGGTGGTCTGCGGTTCTGTGACGGGACAATTTAAAGACTGATGCACCGTCGCTGGAGACTTGCCAAAATGCTGCCTCTAGAAGGTGTGCAGCGTGTCTGTAGTATTTGTTTACATCATATGTGGGTCTTTGGAGGATGAGCGCTTCACAGAGTCATCCCTTCAGGAGCTTTAGGCTCCTCCACCGGGATTGGTTACAATAATTGGATGAGGCATTAAGCATTAGGCATATGCAGGTTCGTCCCTGAGAGTGACGGAGTGCCAGTAAGAGGGTTTGCGGGTAAGAGGGTTTGTAGGTATGATGGGTCTTATGTTTGTAAGGTCACAAAGCCTCCACACCTACCTTTTCTGGTTTCTTGTGCTCACTAAGGCTATATATATATATATGTGTGTGTACAATATTAGGTGACATTTTGAATATCACCTTGATTTTGTTGCACTTTTTTATTTAGCCATTAGGTTTCCTAAAGCAGTAGTTCTCAAATTAATTTTTAGACATTTTTAGTATTTCTGCTGTAATTATGACAAAACTGGTGTTTTTCAAACACAAACTGGGAATATTGACATGTTATATTAAATAACCTCAATTAGCCAGTTAATTTTGTGATCCAGAGGTTGCAGGAACTGTATGTTTTTCAATAAAAACAAGAGTTAATGAGGGATAATAAAAGAAATATGATTTAAGTTAACATAAAATAAGGTTATTTTATATCATAAAAAATAAAGCTATGGCTGTAGAAATATCTCTAGTTGGTGCTTCAGATAAATGTATATGTAAATGCATTTCCCCCTGTCCACTTGCCTCAAACTTTGATTATTTAATTTTCATACGCTTTTTTCTCATACTTGTTGCCTGTTGACATCAGCCACTCCGAAGAATAGAGGTCATCAGAAGTTAGCAGAGGTCAGATCTTCCCCCCAGAATAAGATGGACACCATAGGCTTCTGACCCCCCAGGGTCACTGTTGTTTACATGCAGAGGAAGCAGTCTATAACCCTCAGTAGGATCATTAAGGTCATAAGGCCGTGTGACGGTGTGTGTGTTTTCTTCTCGGAACAAGGCTATTTTACCCTTTTAATCTCATCAGCTCTCCACCACCTGACATTCTCACAGGCCGATTCTCATCTATCATTCTAAACAGGATCAATCGCAGAAGAAAAAAAAAAGAGTCAGGAGGGGTAAAGCGGATACAACAAAGCCTGTATTTCTAGAGGAGTTGTTTTTCATAAGAGAAAATAGCCCTTGAGGTCTCTGAAGTGGAAGTGATGTTGCATGTGGTTGTGTTTGTCTAAAATACTAAAATCTTTGATAGTCTTCATTACTAACTAGTACGTTATTTAATCTGACAGTATTATTCATTTTTATGACTGCATAATATAAAACTATGCAGGTATTTTGTCCCAGAGTGTGTAACTTTTTGTCTTGAGCGGCTCAGATTCTTCCTTCTCTAAGAGCGTTTTCACATCTGGCTAGTTTGTTTCAGATATTGGCACATTTTCTCCCTTCGTTTGGTTCATTTAGGCACATATAAACATGGCAATTGCACTTTCCTCACAAAATAATCAGTCCAAGATCACCTGAATAAGGTGTCTCAGCCTGATTGAAAATGACTGGTTCAGTTGGGGTGAAAAAGCAATCCCACCCAAAAGACCAACGAACCAAGCTGTATCGTAATTCATAATGGGGATGTGTTACATAAAAACATTATTTATCATAGTTAAAAACTGAATTGAACCAAGAAGAAACAATTAAACAGTTGTAACAGTTGAAGTCCCTGTTTCGGAACGGAGCAAATGATCTGCAGGTCTGAAAAAACCCAAAATGTCCAGAGTTCCCCCATTTGGCACAGGTAATATTGCTCATTTGCCATGGGTACAGTTGTTTGCAAGTCAATGTGGTCATTGTTAATGTTCACAAGTGCATAATTCATATCAGCAACCAATGGCCATAGATTGATCTCTGTCAAGACAATCTATCTTCTCATCTCTATTTTCTCATATCTGGCAGCATATATGGAATGGGTTCTTTCCCCTTGGCTTTCGCTCTCTTTTCCATCACTCTCTCTGTCCCCCTCCCCCCAGTTTCTCTAATTTGGGATGCTCAGCTGCCTGGACCATCTGTGTGAGGAGTAACTGAGGAGATTTTGTAATGGGCAGAATGAGTCCGAAGGTGGAGGAATGAATGTCAACCTCAGAAAGAATCAGGGAGATTCTGCAGCTCTGGAATATAATGTGGACGAAGTGTCCTGTGACACTGAGGTCCACTTTATGAGTGAGCATTTTCAGTGTTTGTTGACTTACTCCATTGTTTTTCTTCCCATGATTCCTTGAGCCAAGGCACTTCCTCTCTTTGGCCTCTTCCACTGTATGCACTTTGCTTTGGAGCTGCTGCTCTTAAATCATGCAAACAACATCTGCTTTAGTAAAGCATTGTGGGTAATGCATCTGGCATTGCTGCTTTGCTAGTAGTTAGCAATTAGGAATTCCCCCAAAGGGTTTTGAAAACCCAGATAATTTTTTACACATGAAATAGCACCAAAATAATCTTATGATAGATGTCTTTCCAAGTGTAAAACTGCATTTGAATCCGTAAAACTGTATTAGTGACAGCTGAAATCTTACACCAACCACCACTCCTATTAGCTGGCAACTGCTTCTTATGTGGCTTTAATTCATTTTGGTTACAGTTTAAACAGATCCACAAGCTCTGAACTCTGAATCAGCTGTTGTTTTCCCTCTGCACAGCACGCTCTTTACTTCATTCCTAATCTCATTCTTAAGCAGTTTCTCTTAGCGTTTGCGTGTTAATCAGACCTGATTCTTTATCTGATTGTTCTCTTAGGTCTGTCTGCCAGTGAGAGGGGGTACAGACTTCTCTCTTGTTCATACTTGTTGTTTGTTTATTGTCTGAAGTCTCGGATCAGACTACAACTCTTGTTGCTCTTGTTTTCAGGTCAACCATAGCCATCTGATAGCAGTAGACTCCAACTAGTGGACTGAGTCCTGGATTCCTGATTCCTCTTCTGCTGAGACGGACCTCCAGGACTAGGACAAGATGAAACCGGATGGTGTTGACACGGCAACAATGGAGCCAATGGAAGCATTAAATGCAGGTCCTGCGGTCGAAGTGGCGCCAGTGGGCGAAGCTCAGGACCAGGCTTTGCCTGCAACGCAAACAGAAGGTGAACCACAGCAAACAGAGGCAACCAACAAGACTGGAAAGGACAAGTCTGGGGATCCCAAAGCTAAGACGAAGACTCCTGCCAAAACAAAGACACCCACCTCTGGAACCAAGACATCTACAACCGGCTCCCGTCCCTCCACTGGCCAAAGCCATCTGATAAACGGGGCACAGAAGTCGCAAGCTAATGGCGTCACCAAAAAGACCACCACAGCAGGCCTGGAGAAGAAAACCTCAACCACTGCTGCCACTAAAAAACCAGTCAGCTCTACTCCCGCACCCACAAACAAGGTGGCTGAGAAAAAGCCTGTGGGGATGGCGAGACCTGCCAGTGCTCCAGCCAATGGTGTGAAGACAACAGGGGCAGCACAGCTCATCAAGAAAGCCCCTGCTGCACCAGCTAATGGTCTGAAGTCTAAACCAAAAACTACAGGTAAGTCAAAAGTATCATCTGAGCTTATTGATTACAGCAGTGGTTCCCAACCACATTCAAGAAGTGCCCCCCAGCATTAGTTCAATGTAACCAATTCCTTTAGACTTCAAACCCTTTTCCAACACACCTGCCTGTATTTTTAAAGTAACCCTGAGCACTTTGATTAGCTGGATCAGGTGTGTTTGATTGGGGGTGGAGCTGAAGAGAAATTCGGATGTAGCATATTATCAAACTTTCAAATTAACTGTCTGTATTTGTCTTCTTGTTTTAATGCTCTTAAAAACCCTTCACATCATCCTTCACTCCAGCTCCAGCTCCAAGACCCGCCACTGCGTCCACCACTAAGACCAGTATCACTGGCTCTCCCAAACCTGATAGGCCACCTGTCGCCAAGACAACCAGGTGAGCATCTCATTGGGTGGGAATGTCACAAACAGAAGCTCCCAGACTGGGTATGTTAATGAGAATTCTGCAATGTGGGCCATTTCAGTAGCTCATTCTTTTCCGATGTCCTTAATGCATTGCTTATACAGCCTCACGTTGCAGTCCACGTCTCTCATAGACAATCACTACTCCTCATTCACTAAATACTTAAAGCATTAGGCATCAATTCTAAGTCTGAAAGGGAAAGTATATCATTTGCTGGGAAATGAACTGGCACAGTCCTAAAATTCCTGATTACAAAAAAATGTGAAGAGGAACTCTCTTCCCAATGGGAGAGAGTTTAGACTCTCCCCAGTGAGTTTAAGACTCTCTTCAACTTGGAAAAGTTTGTACTTTCCCCATTGTGAGGGAGTTTATAAAGTCTCCACAAGCAGACCAACAGTCTCAACAGCCTCCGCAGTAGTTTCACACGGCGAGATGCTGATATAATGCAACTTTCCAGATATCCTGGATAGATGCAGAGAGATGTTAGTATGGTTATCGTGCAGGGAGACAATCTGAGTCACGTTGGGAATCACAACATAGAACTCACAGGAGCTGATTTGAGTTGCCTGCAGTCAGCCATGAACAGTGAAGGAGTTTTTTTGTTGCTTGTTTATAGAGGTTATGAGGGACATCCTGAGGCCTGTAAAGGAGCTCAGACTCATGACGTTATGTGAGGGTAGGGGAGAAATGTTTGTATGACTTTGTGAACATTTGTAATGTGATATTTGGTCCCACAACCATACATTTTTGCTTATCTCTTTAGATTTTGACAGACATTGATTACCTTCTTTCCTTTAGCTTCTCTTAAAAGTACAGTATGTTTCTTCCAGTGCTCTTAAAGAAAGTAAAATGGACAAAGGTGGGTCTGTCAAAGTTCTTTCTGGATGTTTTAGGTTCTTGTTCCAAGAAGCTCTGTAATTAAGTGCTGCTTTACTTGGTAACAATAAAAAAAAACTTTAAGAATAACCTGGCAAAGACAACAAAAGACAAATAGACAAAGAAAAAAAAAAGAAGAAGAAGAATTTGATGTTATTCAGTTCCTGTTAGAAAAGTCCAAACTCTCCTCCCATGTCATACAGCTGAACAGGAAGTTTATTTCATGATTAATGGTGTTTAGGAATGCTGCTATCCCGCACACAGACGACGTCACACACTGCTTGGAAAAAGAAACACATTAGACACTATTAGTACTGCAGTATATTCAAGCACTGGGTTTAGGAAAGATAATCTAGGGAATCCACCCTGAGCCTTTGTTTTCTGCTTCTGCTTCATTATGACTTAAAGCTCAAACACTAAACAGCAGCGAAAAGGCCTCTTGTCATCCAATTAGTGCAGACATGAGTTTGTATTTTCCTTGTTATTTTGACCCACTGGGTATCTTCGATCTGACAAATATTTAATGCTACTTCGGTCAAAATTTGTACAGCTGAGCAGCATAACAAACTGTTGTCTTAATATTAATATCAATATCTTAATATTAATTTAACATTTGCTTCACAGTCCAGTAATATATGACTCAGTTTTGGGTGCGGCATATTTTTTCTTCACATTTGTGTCCATGTGAAGAGTGTAGTGTGCATATAAGCATCCAACCATGTGTGTGTCCTGCCTAGAGCAGTAGAGATTGTACTGCAGGGAATTCTGCATCTGCTGAACCTACTGGATTTTAAATAAATAAAACATACCTTTGGCATTAATGGTGCATATTTGCCACCTCAAGCTTTAAATAAAATCTATTGCAGTTGCTACTAGTGGCACCAAACGGAGTGGCAAAAATTTCAAAAGCAGTGAAAGATGTGTGTGAGTCCTACATTGGATGCTAGCTGCATTACAGAAGTGCAAACCAGAGTATGTGAGCGGAGTGGAGCAGCAACAATTTCCCCTCCGCGCTCCAAGCATTCAATAATCGCTCCGCTCTGGGTTCACCATTTCCCACTCCTCGCTCCACTCCTCGCTCACTGATATCAGAAACACCGCTCCATCTTCGCTCCCTGAGGAAATTTACAGCTAATTAAATTATTTCAGTATGCTTTGAAATATCACAAAAGTTCTGTTCATAACATGTATTAAAAGAAAAAAAAATACTAGGAGAGTACTTTCAAAGTGGCTTATTGTAACACTAGTGTGCACACTTTTTCCTACCACATGCCAAGCTTATTACATGGTTGTCAGCATTTAAAGATAGCTATCATTGCTGCTTTTTGCAGTGCAAATTTTGTTTGTGAAGGATGAAAATTAGTAAGTTTTCGTCCGTTATTTTATCTACGGATCGCTGTATTTCTTACAGATTTCTACTCATTCGAAATCGGATACAGATGAAGAAGCACTGTAAGATTACATTTGTTTGAATGCATTATTGAGAGCATTGCGTGTGAATAAGTGTTGCAATGTATATATAACGAATAAGTGTTTAAATCACGCTTTCACCAGAAAATATTCAGTATCTAGAAGGAACAAACAAAGTCCTTGAGAACTAACTTCCCACTCATGTCCATTGCCGTCATCATAACCTTCACATTCTTTCTGATTTGAGTGGGCCGTTGGCATGAATTGTGCTCGCGATGGAGCGGCAGTGGAGCGCTCTTGGAGCAAGTGAAAACCACGACGCTCCGACTTTTAAAAAATCCGCTCCTCGCTCCATTCAAAATCACACCGCTCCACTACTCCCTCTGCTCCGCTCACATACTCTGGTGCAGACATGACAGAACTGGCCAAAAATATGAATGATTGTGATTAACTGAATTCTTTGGGCAACCTTAATGAATGAGCTTTTTCCATCCTGACGATGATTGCGTCATACTGATGTAAGAACTATGGGCTGGTTGGTAAAGGGCCCGCCCAGCAGCCAACGCTAAACCATCTGAGTCATTTCTCATAAATGAGTTGCTCTCTTTCTGTATCTCTTTGTCCCGCTTTCTCTCATTCATTAGGTCATGTTAGAGTTCAGTCCTCCAGAGAGATGTTTTATTGCAGCCACTGGATCTAGCCTAATCTCCAAATGGAGCTTGCATGTTTCCCAACAGCCAACTTGATGGATGGTTTATAACACTTCAGTGATTCTGATATTGCTGCGGTGCTTCACGTGTTTTTCGCTTGTCAGATTTCTGCATTTTTATAGGCTGTGCATGTTTGCTGGTGTTCCGCTCATCAAGTTTAACATGGCTGTACTTTGTCTTCACTATCCATTCTAGCTGTGGCCTGTTGATGATTATTTTTTTTATTTTTTGTCAGAATAGTTTATTTAATTGTATTTTGAAAATCTTAAAGAATATATAGTTCTGTGATCATTTTTATTTCATGGGACACAAAAGCAGAACCTCCAATAAGATGGCATTGTCTATTTAAATTTGCTTATAATATATAAATCCTTTCTGGATATTTATGATTTTTGGTCTTTTTCACAGGGTACAATATAAAAGACACAAAATGGGTGCAGGTCCATGCATTGTCCAATTATATAAGAGTCTTTGTGTACAGGCATCTTTGATTTGACAGATTTGCCACTGCAAGCCAAGAAATCACTGCACATTAAAACATTTTGATCTTTGCTGTTGAGGTAAAGTAAATCAAATCTTGTTCAGATGAACGACTGTTGGCCTATATGAAGCTAACACAGCAAATTTACACGCATGTGAGTGCCAGCAGGTAGATGCAATTTCATCAAACGCTACCGAATCACAGCTTTACCAGTGCATTAGGATTCATCCTGAAGGGACTTGAACCTCGTTATTGAGGTTAAAGAGTCCCTTCAGGCCAGAGTGCCTTATTAAAATCTCATCAGCCATAGTGCCAGTCGCTGGCTCAGGAGGAGGTTGTCTTCCTCACTGCTGCTGTGGCTTCAGGGGAACCTTTGCCACTCATAAATGTAATGGCAAGTTAAACTGTGTTTATTAGCCAATCATGCCACAGGCTTCTCCATTGCTCACAAAACATCAAAGAGCTATCTATAAAATGCTTGAATGGCATGCCGTTAGCTTGAAGCACTTAAAGCAAATGCACATGTGTAAATGTTCTTAGATTGTCTTCTACAGTGCATTTTTGGGTTTTAATGTGCATTATATTTGCCCCCAACCCTGGCACAGATCTGACAGAAAAATGCTTGGCTTGCGATGCGATGGCTTGTTGTTGATGATTTGTTTGTTTTTTCTATTAGAGGAATAGTTCACTCAAAAATGAATGACTTTGACCATATCACTTTCTTTATTCTGCTAAACATTAAGTTATTTGACAAAGGCTGTTACATTTTTGCAAGGACTATAATATACCACCAGTGTTCTATTAATGCACCATAAAATAATAATATTATTGTATTAAATAATATAGTGCACAAATCATATGAACTACTGGCCTTTTTGGAGCTTCATGGCACCTGGTCACTGTATGCCTTCACTGAATGCTAAAAAAGTTTTTGTTATTCTATTTCTCCCGCACTCTCTTTAACTCGCTCTGTCTCTTGTGTTGCAGGAGAACAATGTTTGTGCTAATCTCTGTGTGCTCACTTCTTTTACTGAGTCATCCTGTCACTATAGATTATTCATATCGGTTTTATGTTTGAGATTAGGATGAAGTGTGGAGCTTCATGGCACCTGGTCACTGTATGCCTTCACTGAATGCTAAAAAAGTTTTTGTTATTCTATTTCTCCCGCACTCTCTTTAACTCGCTCTGTCTCTTGTGTTGCAGGAGAACGATGTTTGTGCTAATCTCTGTGTGCTCACTTCCTTTATTGAGTCATCCTGTCACTATAGATTTTATGTTTTTATGTTTGAGATTAGGATGAAGTGTTATTGCTATATTGCTATCATTCTCTTCTCATCATCTAATAGCATGCTCTCCTTTGAAGGTTTAATTATAATGCAAATCTGTATTCTAGAAACAATAAAAAATTTGGATTATTTCCAATAATCTGTAAAGTCATGACTTTCATTCTACCTAGTGCTGGTTGACTCTTTGAATGTCTCTTGATGTGTGTCTTTACTGTGGTCTACTAAATATGACTTTTTTACGTTGGTAAAATCATGTCATTAAACATGAGAATAGATGATGTGGTGAACGAGAAAAAGCATAAAGAACCCAGGTAAATTTTTTGTGGCTATAGCTCATCCTATTTTATGATAATGATTTATATTTTATATTGCCAACAAGATAATATATAATATAATATATATTGGCCAACATTTAATGTTAGATTTCGATATGTGGTTAAAAAAAGAACTGCAAAGACTTCAGTCAGAAGTCTTCTTTATGAACTGTATGCAGGTCTAATTATCAAGTTGGCTCAAAGACTAATGTCCTAATCCAGGTTGTGTGCTTAAGTAGGTGTTTTTGTAAAGTGAAACTAGGTCGAAGAGCTACAACTCACCACTGCATTAATTCATGTGTGGTTTTCTCTGTCAGGTTTATCTGTTTATAGACTTGCCCTCTTTGTTCCAGAACCTTCACTGCTGGATCTCTCTCTCTCTTGCGCGGTTGTTTGCTCTCTCACCTGATATGTAGGACACCACAATTTTGTAGAATCTCACCCCCGCCCGTGCCGTGTGGACTTTGCCTAGACAAAATGTGGAACTTATGGAGCATGTGTTTTAGCAAGATCCATGCTGTTTGCCCAAATGGGATTTGCATGGTTATTTTTACTCAACACAATGAAAGATTTAAATGGTGCTCACTGTGTCTTCTGCACTGATACTCACCCTGCCTCGTGCTCGTCAGCTCTTTATTTAGAACAGGAGAGACACATGCAGTGGAGCGTAGACAGAGGAAATCAAAAGCTCCTGCCAGGCCAACAGGATCTAGGTTAACTTACTCAGACTTGACCTGGACATGTACTGAGTCACTGCCGTGTGCTAAGCTGAGCTCATACTAGACCAGAGTGGACAGATACTAGACCCCGTCAGGGTAGAACATGTGTATTACCACTGAGTCAGGCACCCCAGGATAGAACAGAGGCATTATGGGTATATAACTGAGGGAAGGGGATTTCTTGAAAATAATGTTTTTGCTAGTATTAACATAACTCCATGTTGTGTTCTTGAGCTACCTGTCTGTCCTTCAGGCCTTCTGTGCTGTGACTAATCAAAGTTTTGACTCATGAGTCACTGCTTTAAATGGGATATATGACCTATCACCAATAACTGAAATGTCAGAAGAAGTGGAGAGTGCAGTTTTAACCCATACACACTAATATCAGGACTTTTCTATGTGATCTTTTCTTCCAGCTTTCTTCTGCTTTTTTAAATGCAGGAGGTCCTTGTCCTAGCTGGACATGAAAGCTCAACAGAGAGTTGCGCAAGCTAGGAGCAGCCAGACCTGAAAATTTTTTAATTACTCACCATACCTGTTATTAGGATTCGACGCAGTCTTCCTCTGTAATGATTTCTCAATTTCTTGTCACATCTGCTATGTGCAGGTCTGTTGGCTCTGCTCCTGCCGCCCGTTCTTCCCCTGCTGCCCCTAAGCCTGGGACACAGACAACTGCCAGCAAGACATCTACAACCGCATCTAGGCCAACTACTGCTACACCCAAGACACCATCTACTACTGCTAAACCCTCTCCTGCTAAAACCACAGCTCCCCCTGCTGGCCGCACTCCCACTCCTAAGACCACAACACCTGTCAAGAAAGGTGGGTATCTCATGGAATATAATAAACACATGCATATAGTTTATTTGTAACTATTTTGACACTAATATTGTGTTGTAATACGTGAATACTGATATTTTATGTATGGTAAATATTTATATATTCCATTTTTAATTGTATTTTATTTTCATAAAATACTTATATTTAATTTACAGTATTAATCCTGTATTAATGCTTAGATTAATTTCTATTTGAAGCTGTGATACTGAGTTGGAATTATATGTTCTCTTTTCATTAGATGTCAGTAAGCAGTCATCTGCTCCAGCAGCCAAGAAGCCCACTTCTTCTCCACTTACCCGGCCAGCACCAACTAAGACCACCAAACCTGACACCCTTAAGTCAGCCTCCACTGCCAAGGCAGAATCAGTCTCCAAAAAACCCACCACCTCCAGTAAGGGGGCAGATGTTAAGACTAGTAAACCCAAGGAGAGCAAAGCAACACCTTCCAAGGAGGTCAACGCAAGCCCCAAGACCACAGGCAGCAAGCCCAGCACTAAAACAAGCAGTCCAAAGAAGTCAGTTGGCAGTAGTACTCCAAAGCCATTGAAGGGTGGCCCAAAAGCCTCCCAGCCTGCAGACGCAGCAGCTACAGATGCTGAGAACAAGGACATGGTACCCGCTATGGTTGCAGCCACTACTGCAGCTGCTGCTGTTGTTTCTATGGTGACCTCTGAGGCAGCACCTGAAGACTTAGCCACAGCTTTTGTTCCTGTTGCCACTGAAGAGGCACCTGAGGACTTGTTTACCCAGGTCAATCCTGCTGCCTCTGAGGTGAAATTAGAAGACTCATTTACAACTCCAATTTCTGCTTCCTCTGAGGACTCTAAAGAGGATTCAAAAGAAATGGACAAACCTGTCATTGCCCCTATCACTACGAAAGCACCTGAAGACAAAGTTACACCTGTCATTCCTCCTGTCTCTGAGGGATCACCTGAAGACTCTGTTACACATTTCAGTCCTGAAGAAACATCTGAAGACAGAACTATGTCTGCCATTCCACCTACCTCTGATGAGGTACGAGAGGAAACTGTTTCACCTGTCATTCCTTCTGAAGAAACACCTGAAGATGTAACTACATCTGTCATTCCTCCTACCCCTTTTGAGGAACGAGAAGAAACTGTTTCACCTGCCATTCCTTCTGGAGAAACACCTGACGATGTAACTACATCTGACATTCCTCCTACCTCTTATGAGGCACGAGAAGAAACTGTTTCACCTGCCATTCCTTCTGAAGAAACACCTGAGGATGTAACTACATCTGTCATTCCTCCTACCTCTTATGAGGCACGAGAAGAAACTGTTTCACCTGCCATTCCTTCTGAAGAAACACCTGAGGATGTAACTACATCTGTCATTCCTCCTACCTCTTATGAGGCACGAGAAGAAACTGTTTCACCTGCCATTCCTTCTGAAGAAACACCTGAAGATGTAACTACAGCTGTCATTTCCCCTACCTCTTATGAGGCACCTAAAGAATCCATTTTACCTGTCATGCCTCCCGCCTCTAACAAAACACTTGAAGACACAACTGCATCCGTCATTCCCCCTACCTCTTATGAGGCACCTATAGAAACAACTTCATCTGTCATTCCTCTAGCCTTTGAAGACGAACCCGAAGACACATTTACACCTGTTATTTCTCCTACTTCTGATGAGGCGGAGCTTGTCTATTCCCAGGATGTCCCCCAGAGCATGGACACTTCTAAAGATGACAATGTAATGTCTCAGCTGGCTGCTGAAGTGGACTTGGTCAGTCTAGAGGAGCCAGTGCCTGCTGTGTCTTCCCTGGGCACAACAGTAATGTCCCCACCATCCTCTCCCACCGGCCCAACATCCATGCCAGTTGAGCTCCCAAGTTCAGTTCCCTTCCTGAGCACACAGGGTCCATCTGAACCATGGGCACAGAGATCTTCACTGTACTCCAGCTCTGCAACCATAGAGAACCAGGAGCAGGATATGGAAAGAGAGCATGATGAAGAAAGTGAACAGGATGATGAAAAAGATCAGGATGATATACAGATACCTTATGCTGCAGATAATGTGATCAAAGACTTTCATCTGATGGGCTCCACTAGTGGGGATCACATCAGAAATGCAGCTCCTGTCTCCCCCTTGCAAGAACGAGAAGAGGCAGTGGAGAAAGCTGAAGAAGAGATTAATGAAGACAATGATGAGGAGGAGGAGGAGGAGGAAGAGAAAGAGGAAGAGGAGGAGGAAGAAAAAGAGTTAAAAGTGATTGGCATAAAGGAATCAGTGCCCCAAACAGAGAAAGAAGTTGACTTTAAAAAGGGGGTGGCAGATTTTGCCAGCTCTGACTGGGGTATGATGCAATCAGATGACATGTACAGCAGTAACAAACATGACTCAGAAGTGACATCTCCTTTTAATGCTGAAGACAGTTGCAGTGCTAAAGATACAGATGACTTCACCATAACCGAGGCAGACAGGGAACAACCATTCACAGGGCCTCCTGGAATCCAGTCATTTGGTAGTGAAGATGAGGAAGAGGATGAGGAAGAAGAGCATTTGAAGGAAGACATAGATCTGGCATTAGAGCATGATGATGAACATCTCAAACAACAGAAAGACTTAGAGGAAGCAGATGAAGATGTGGAGATGGTCTGCAGAGGCATGGCTGAGAGTGGACTTGGGGTTCGTACAAATGATGGTAATGAAGATGAAGATGAAGATGATGATGATTACAGAGATGAAAGTGATCTAGTTCTCAACAGCATGGGTCACACTGCTCAAGCAACATCTATGCCTTCGACAGCAGCATGGAGTAATTCCAATCCATTCTCTGATCCCTGGGCCCAGCCTTCTTTCGCCCTGTCTGAATCAAACCTGTCAGATTCAAGAGTTCAAGATCCAGACACACTCGCCAAATTCCAAGCCGACCTAGACACAATCACCACATTCTCAGCTGAACCAGATACACCACCCAAATCCCCATCTGAGACTTTTCTGGACACAAGTCCACCCCTGATTCAGACCTTAGAACCTCAACCTGACATCCAAGAGGAGACAGGTATCTCAGTCCCAGTGGAGTCGGGTATCTTGGCTCCTCCTGCCATTGGAATGTCCCAGTCCAGCACCCTCAGTGGAACAGCCCTGGCTGCCCATAGCAGCAGTGAGACCAGCACACCTGAAGAGCTTCGAGATTATGACAGCAGCTCAGGTGTAGAATCCCCATCAGACAAGCAGCAGACGCCAGTCCCTGCCATGCATACAGACATGGAGCAGGACCTAGGTATTCACCTTGAGCGAGGTGATGGGGAGGAGGAAGAGGCAGAAACGCTGCCAGCTGACGAAGTACTGGGTGATGCCGCAACAGCACCAGCCTCTGTACCATCATCACCATCAACCTCCGGTGATGAAGCCAGTGATACAGAGGGTGAGATGCAAATCAATGACCCTGATGTTGCAGTTGATGACAATGCCACAGTCCCCCACAACCTCACTGCCCTGGAGGAAGACGAGGAGGCTCCTGAACAGATTGGAGAGGAAGATGGTGATACGCCTCAGTCAGCCAACTCTGTGGCCTCCTACGGTTTTGACGGCTCCGCATCCATCTCCAATGCCCACTCTATGGCTGAAAGCTGTGGAAAGAGTCCAGGCATCTTTAGCCTGGAAAATGAAGAGCAGCTTCCGGAAGAGGCCAAGGATCCTTCTTTCATCAAGGAGCTCACCCTGCCAGCAGCTACCGCCTACAGTGATGACTTGTTGGGCTGCCCAGTGGATTTGCTGCCTATCAGCGAGCCCACAGAGAGGGATGCTGGGTTTGACGAGCACTACATGCTGTGCAGTAAGACAGACCCAGGCGCGATGGAGGAAATGGATCCTGAGTCCCCTATGCACCTATCACCCCAACATGGGGACGATTCTGACCGTCAGCCACCATACTACTCTACTATATGTGATAAGACTGATAACTTTCTGGCAGGTAACGTATAAAGTCCCTCTTTTGGAATGCACCTTGTCTACCCCAACCCCCACGCTCCCACCCTGTGTCCTTCATTTCTTCCAAATGTGGGGTTAACAAGCAAAGAAATGAATAGAAATATGTAATAGAAGAGGGAAAGAAAAGAAGAGCCATCAGGTGAGGGATAGTAGCTTTGTCTGAGCTGCTCTCTGTTCTTCTATTACCACGGTGATGGTTATGATTGTATGGCTTAAATTTCTGTATGTACAGTAGCTATTCTCATTTTCTATTAGAATGTACTTTTTAAATAACACTGCGTTTCATGGCACCCCTGAACCTGCTATGTTAGTCTAAGTTAAGTTGATGTCCTTTAATGAAAGGACAAAAATGCAAAAAATAAATACACTTGGTGGACTCCAACTACCTTTGTATTTATCCTACTGTTTTTACCAATCAAATGTCATTTTTTTATACTTAGTTTTTTTTCTTCTTCTTTTTTTTTTTGATTTGTTAAGATCCCTGTCTTACCTTAATGTTTGTACACACATCAGTTTTCCTGCACTGTAAAAGTAGCTTTACTGTCTTTTAAACCTTATTCCAGCTTTCTCTTTTAAAACGTGTTCCAGCACTAACTGTTTTAGCATTAAATACAGGTTAAATATTCTTCAGAAGCTTTTCACTCTCACAGTGTTTGACATAGGGAGGTGAATGAGTGTTAGATGGCAAGTCATACTTCATTTTTGGTTGTCTTTTGTTAGTTTTGAGCTACTGCTGCCCATTTTTGTGAAGGATAACATAGATTCTCATTGGCACGTAACTTAAGTGTTTTAAAGTACTGGGCTCAGATTGATCTGGATTCTTTCATTTACAGTTGTTAAACATTTGTACTTCGGAACAGACTATTTCTATTAATGAAAATGTAAGTGTTTTCCTGCATTTGTAAATCTTAAAATGATGCTCGCAGGTCAGTGTACTGTGAGTACTGGGACATTTCTACAAGAATTGGAAGTGCATGTGCAACTAATTAAGAAATTATTCTTGCTATGAATCCAGACATAATCCAGGGATGTTTGGACGTTAATGATTCACAATAACTAAAAGGTTTTTCCCAAAATTCCATTAAACATCATTGCAATGCTGTCTGTTCCTGTTTGTTTTTTATTTTGAGTGGCTTGATGGTCTGTTCTCATCTGAGTGCTCCTGTGGTATTTGATTTTGAACAGATATCTACTGAAATGGTGTTTATTCCAGATGTATTTTTGATGAAATTACAGTCAGTGCTCATTGTCTATGATCCCCCTTTACTAAAGCATGTCATGACCCCTAAACTCAACAACAGGACCCCACCCTGAAAGCCCAGCACAACAAGGTTGCATGGTATCTCAAGGAGTTGGTTAATGGGTTTCAAGAAATACCTTTTGTCATCATTATGCATTAAAGCATAAACACAAACTCAACACAAAAATTCCAAATCCTCCCAGAATGTTGATTTGGTTTTGGGTGTGCCAGAGAATCTTCTTTTTGTTTTTCCTCTTCTCAGTATGGAATCTCATCTCATTTTCTTGGTCCTACGCCTTCCACAGAATATATAAATACAGATAAATACATTTAGACCATTTAACTTAATGATTGCTATCGGGATGTGAAGAGACTTTCAACCAGCATAAAAAAAATTTTCTGAAGACAATCACCTATTGCACCTTTAAACCCAGAATATTCCTTACGTGATGGTTACTAATTGTTTTTAAATATCCTGACGTGTTTACAGGAAAGACGTGTGGGAAAACTTGATTCCTTCATTAAGAGTTTTGTCTAATTTGTTCTTTGGTTTATGTTTTCTTTTATTGTCTGCATGTTTCTCTTTCTGTCTGTGCTTTTCCTCTGTTCCTGTTTGGTCACACCCTTCTTCATAACGAATGCCTCTGTCAGTAAACACATGTTGCAAGTGCTCTTGACTGTCCACAGGGAAACCCAGGAACACTATACAGACTGGTGAGCACCAGCTTTCACTGAGCCAACAGGAGAATGGTAACTATCCAAGGCTAACCCAAGAGCTGAATGACAATAAGTACCTTGCCCCTCTGCCAAACACCCACAAGCAACTGCAGCAGCCACAGCTTCGTATCAATGTTCAACATGTTGATGCTCCTCCGAGGGTCCCACCAACTCCATCGGTGCCTAATGTGCAGCTGCGAAGGCTAGAGCAGCACCAGCTGCAGTTGCGGCACATTCGGCAACGCCAGGAACAGGAACGGCTGCAATGGCTGTGTCTGGAGGAAGAAAGGCAGTGGCAGGAGCAGCAAAGGGCATTGGAGAGGCAACGTCGAGAGCTGCTTCAGTTGCAACTACAACAGCAGCAGCAGGAACACCGACTCCGCCGACAGCTCCTGCAACGGCAGCTTGAGATGGAGCAGCAACAGAGACTCAAACATCAGTCACAGGTGAAAAGGCAGGTGAAAGGGCAACCGTGTCTCCAGTCACATTCATCTGGACTCTGCACCATCTATGAGGCCATGGAGACCAGCGAGGAGGAAGAAGGGGATGCAGAAAACGGATCTATCGCCAACCAAGGTTCCCCCAACCAGACAGCCCATTCCATCCCGACAGACCTACCGCTTAGAGTGGCCAATGGAAACCTTCGCCGACCACCTCCACAGGAACTAGACTGGAACACAAAACTGGACATGGTCCAGCAGCTTATTAACCAGGCTATGCTTCTAGCTGGGGAGGACGGCTGTCTTCCGATCCTGTACCTACCTGGGCAAGGAGGGGGCATCCTCAGCCCTCTAGAGAGCAGCATGTGGCCACACATCATGTCCCACTTCGACTGCTCCACCGCAACAGTGGCCTCTGTCAGTAGTTACTCCCCCAGCAGCCAGGCCAGTTCCCCGCAGGGTGACTGGACTGTGGTGGAACTGGAGACACATCACTGACGGTCTGAGCACTATTCAACCCAGCATGTGCACTAAAGACCAATATCAATCACCTATCCCAAACTATTATAGAAAACACTAAGCTGTCCAATAGCTCTACCTGCATTTTACAAATGTATCCTATAAGCCTTCTAATTGGGTCTCTTGTGTTCTAGCTTATCCCTTCTGAATGCAGTCATTTTGAGTCTTCAGTACGCAAGCACATTCCTGAAGAGTTTGGGTTTCTTTGTAGCTTAAACTCTCACCTATAATTTTGCTTCAACAATCATACTTTTTTTTTTTTTTGTATTTAAACTTTAGACATATTTATGTATTCATGGTATTTTATTAATTACATGCCTGTAGGATTTCAACTACTTAGTCAACATGAAAACTATATTTACTTTGTTTCAAAGTTGAACACACCTAATATGTACACGTATTTAGATCGCTTTGACCGTTCTCTGTAGATCCCACCTTCTCACGTGCCACGATTGGTCGATTATGTACAATGCCTGCATGTTATTGGTCAAACTACTTTTTGATCATTACCTTCAGCAAGGCAATATAGAAATCCTGGCCAGGACGCTTTTGGGAGCCTCAAAGAACAGTTTGTAAAATGGTTTTGAGCAATTATTTTAAGTAATATTGCTTTTTTTTTTTTTTTATCTTGCCAATAGATAATGCAGTAATTTAACAGTGGTTAATGGTTTCAACAAGGGACTAGTTCCTCACGATTGACTGTAAACTCACATTCAGGTCGGTCTCCATTTTGGTATGAAACGGACACTTTTCTCAATCTAATCAATTATGTTGATTTTAACACTTTACTGAAGGCCCAACAGGTTACCATCACAGCCTATTGAAGTTCTTATTGCCAAACAGCTTTTTGGTCCTGTTAACCTATATGACTGCATTTGCCAAATGATCATATTCAGACAACTTTCTGTTTGTCTCTGTTTTATATATTATTAGGTTAGTAGAGATTTTTACATAGATATAGGTTGTAATTAGATCATGCATTCTGTTGTGTTATGGGTAATGTTTTGTTGTTGTCCAAGGACTGTTGACCTCATGTGGCTTCAGACAGAGCTACTCTGTTTGCTATTCTCCTCTGGAGAGGGGGATTTCAGCTGTGGGGGAAACTCTTGTCTCCCAACATTCCTGAACCATTACTTCATTTCCTGGGTCCTTCTTGTTTCAATGGGTTTCCTGGGTTACTGATGATGTTGTGGCAACTAGAAAAAAGGAGGTGTCTAAAAGACACATGAGGGAGAAAAGTAGTGAAGGAAGTGTATATATGAGAGAGAGAATGTTCTCTACTCTAGTAAAGACACAAAGCTGTAGTATATGAGCTGTCTGTTGTCAATGCCATCAATGTGACTTTTTTTTAGATGCTGTGGAGGGTGTATTTGTATATAGAGTTAGATGTACAATATCTGATGGAGGGGTCAGAGTGTGTGCTTGTTGGCAAGACTTACTATTAGTATTAAAATAATTAGTATTTCTGTTATATTTTCTATAGCACTTTAGTAATCTAATGTCTGTCTTTTTGTTCATTTTTGTTAATGTGCATTGTCTTCACTTTTAGAAACGTTACATTTTTCGGTTGTTGACTAGCTGTTGCACTAGCGCCACCTACTGATGATGAATCATAAAAAGAAATTGATGCAGTGCTGGTTTCTTAGGACAAACCAATTTAATTATTTATATATTTAGAGAAAAAATTATCACAGCCAACAGTTAAATGTTCTTTCTGAGGTAAGTTGATATTAGTTATTATTATTATTATTACTGGAAGATATATTGCAATTGTATATTATAGATAATGGTTGTAGTTTTCTTTTTTCTCTATTAAAATCATAAGTGCAATGATGATGGATGAATTAGATACAACCACATATTTAAGATTTATATCCTTTTCGTGTTTTTAGAACAACAGTAATATTTGAACCATTTAATTAAGGATTTAAAGATGGAGGTTAATGGAGGAGTGGAACCATGTAGTATAATTTGTCTTATGAAACTATTTTTGGTTTATTAAAGAAGAGGACAAAGTAATTAGCTGCAGAGTTGATTACTTTGGAAGAAAGACACAATAAAACTTCATTATTTAAAGAAAGATATATTTCTAGATACATTTTCATTTATTTTTTTAAAGATATATTTCAGGTGTATATCAATGTTAATTCATGTTTGAAATATTTGGCATTATTCGTGAAGGTTGCACGTTTGGATGAATATCCAACATTTGTTCTAATATTTCACTCACCTCCATGTCGTCTGTTCGTACTGTGCTCACTTTTTGTCCTCCAGCTCCATCTGTCTGTGTCCTGATTGCAAGTGAGTGCAGTAGTCGTTCATCAATCATACTGCACTTCTCAAACGTAGCTACAGTGAATAAAACATGAAGGCTACTATTTCTAACAATCATAAGAGGTTTACGTTAATTCTAGCCTGTAGTTTGAGCTTGCAGTATTTTGCT